CGGCTAATCCTAAAAAGATTCGAATCTCCGTGGGACTTTTTGGTTGTTCCCACTTCATCACAGCTTCAATCTTTGCTGGGTCAACCATTATCCCTTCTTGGTTAACCACATGACCCAAAAATTGGACTTCTTGAATCCAAAATTCACATTTGGAGAACTTTGCATACAGCTTCTCCTCTTTCAGAACTTCTAGCACTTCACCGCAAATGCTTTCATGCTCCTGCTTGCTTTTTCGAATAGATCAAGATATCGTCTATGAATACTATCACGGATTTATCAAGGTATGGTTTACAAACCCTATTCATCAAATCCATGAAAGCTGCTGGGGCATTGGTTAATCCGAACGACATAACCAAAAATTCATAGTGTCCATATCTTGTTCTGAACGCAGTCTTCTCGATATCCTGCTCCCTCACCTTTAGTTGATGGTACCCCGACCTAAGATCAATCTTCGAAAAATAGCTCGATCCTTGCAACTGATCGAACAAGTCATCGATCCTCGGCAACGGGTACTTGTTCTTTATCGTCGCTTTATTCAGCTCTCTGTAATCGATGCACATTCTCATGCTCCCGTCTTCTTCTTTAAAAATAACACAGGGGCTCCCCAGGTGATGAACAAGGTCGAATGAAACCTTTGTCCAAAACTCCTGAAGTTTGTGTCATAAGTTCTTTCATTTCGGTTGGTGCTAATCGATATGGTGCTTTTGCTATCGGCGTCGTTCCTGGTAACAAGTCGATACGGAATTCTACTTGTCGATCAGGGGGCAATCCGGGAAGATCTTCGGGAAAGACTTCCGGATAATCACACACCACTGGAATATCTGCACCTCCTTCTTTTCCTTCTGAGCATCGATCACGAACGCTAGATATGATGTACACCCCTTGGCCAAACACTTTCTGGCTTTCATTAGGGAAATGATCCAGAGTTTACTCTGCGTTTGTCTCCGTACCCATAAATGACTCTTTCCCTGGCGGGTTTTTACTTACTATCTTCTTCCTACACATTATTTCGGCATCATTGGCGCTAAGCCAATCCATTCCTAAAACTATGTCGAAACCATTAACTCGATAGGCAATAATTCCTCATGGAACTTATTTCCCATCCAAGTCAATGACGATGTTTTTCATACGATGGCTAACAGGTACAAACTTGCCACTAGCAATCGCGACTAATAAGGCATAACTAGTCTATCTACAGGCAAAGCTAGTTTTCTACCAAATTCAGCGATAAAGGAGTAATTGGCTCCAGAATCAAACAAAATTTGGGCAGGCAATTCGTTTTACGAGAAAGTACCTGAAGCGACATCGGCTTCTTCTTTCGCAGTCGAGTGTCATCTGAAAGGCTCTCGCCTTCGGCTTTGGGGCAGATTGGGTTTCGCTGCGTCTTTCTTCTTCGGGCAATCCCTCAAAATATGCCCTTCTTCATGGCACCCATGACAGACGTTATTAGTGAAGGTGCATTATTGGCATAATGCCCTGGCTTTCCACACTTGTAACAGTGAGTCCACGCTGCACTTCCCAGCATGTTTCTTCTTGCACCGGTCACACCACTTGGCTTTGGCTCCTCCTCCGAATTTCTCGAACCAGACTTCGAGAATTTGTTCTTTTTGTTGGAACCTGACGTTTCTTCAAACTTTCTCTTTTCGCCAACTTCAACCTTGCTGGCGCTTTCCCCTTGATCATATCTTCAACAGACTGGCAGCCCAGATAGCTGCCTCCAAATTAAGTGTCTGACGTACTGGCACGCATCTCCCATGGAAGTCCCTTTGCTTACCTGTCAATTTTCGCCAGCTCATCTGGGACAATACGCAAAGCAAACTCCATTTTGTCTGTGAAGTTATTCGTATACTCGTCAGCGGTCATACTCTCCTTCTTCAACGTTAGAAATTGGTTTTCTAACTCAAGTACGTTTTGGGCCGAGCAGTACTTGCGCTTAAAGTGCACCAAGAACTCTGCCCAAGTCATTTGCAGTGGCTCATTAGGGCTTAGGTTTTTCCCCAATGTGTTCCACCAACGAGCAGCACTACCCCTGAACTGACGTACTGGCAAAGGTAGTTTGTAACTTGCCTTGGCAATCACAAGTCATGGAAAGCCAACTCCATTTCCGAGATCCAGTCCATAACTCCGATAGGCCTCTTTTCCAGTGAAGGTCATGGCTTGCAAGTCATAAAGTCCTTATACTTGCACCCATTTCTCTCCACTCTGCCTCATGGTATTTCCTCAACCACAAGCGGTTCAATATGACCAACCGATCTGCTGTTGTCCCTTCTTTAGATGATCGTCATTCATTTATTCACGTTGTTCAACAGGAACTGAAGGTTCATCCCGTTGTTCAGCAACATTTGCCTCAACTCCTCCCTCTCTTCAGCCATCATGGTCTGAATCACAGCTCGTACTCCATCCATGGTGATGGGTTCGGGGAAGCTCCTACTATCGGCACCTGTTCCACCACTTGAGGTGAGTTGGGTTTCTGTTTGCATTTCCCGCTCCATCGAGTCTTTTGCCATACAATCTAGATACCGAATAAGGCGAATTTAGGTCTTTATCCTTGTTAGACATGTCAATTCCCTTATCACTCCGAAACGTTTACATGTTAGTTCTAATCTCGTATCATACGCTTAGAATCCTACACACATAAGTTTCCAGATCCGGTCGCAACAGACCATAGATCCGAACAAATAATGGCATATATGGCAACATATAGCATTTAGCACATAAAGGCACATTTTAGGCACCTTTCCTAATAAACTAGTGCTCATGTCTAAAATATGGTAGACACTCACCTCACAATCATCACTTAGCATTCTAAGTTTAAGTCTAGAAATCGTAGGATATTTCTTAGTCGCTTAAACTAATGCTCTGATACCAACTGTGAAATCCCCTAATTTCTCGGCCAGAAAAGACCGATTAATTTATGCTTTTTTAAAATAAAATCAGGAAATCTTTCAAAAGATGTTGCGGAATAGGTCCCCAAAATAAAACATGATAAAAGTTTATCAAAACCCTTCTTTAAGAAGGTATATTTTTCCATATATATATCAAAACCTCGGGATGTCATGTTCCGATACAGATCAAAAGCATCATAAAAAGACATTATAAGCCTTATACGGTTATTTACAACTACTGGCCTATAATCAAAAATCTCTCATCGTCCTCCGACTATGCTCGGGGTCCACTACCTGTAATCATAAAAAGCTGAGTGGGTCAGTCTTGGAGCCTGGTGAGCATATAGGGTTTCAACCAACAATAATAATAACATATTAAGTTCACCAATCAACAAAACCCTGATTACCCATTCCTGTTGTCCTCACTTTACGTCCCTAAACACCTAACACAAGGGACTTAACCTAAGGAATATCATCGGGTTGGACACTACTGCTAAGGGGACTCCTCAGCCATACATGTCCTAAAGGCAACCATGAGGGGGATTGGGAGTACACCAATGAACATTTAGTTCATCAACATCTACAAGTTGCGAACTTGCTAGTGTACCACTGGACTGTCTAGAAAGGTCTGTGATCGTCATCTATACTCCGCTAGACGACTACAACAACACCAACAACAACACCGACACCGAGGCCCTCATCATTTTAAACACCCACCGACTATTTGTCTACCCATGTTCTACCCAACATATTTGTAGATAAAATACATATACAGTTTAAAACTTGTATAAAACATCAATTCAACAGTCACCTCAAATAAACAATTAACATATTTACACATAACACGTATTTTAAGGTAAATACTTCATATCTATGTGTAAATTGAAAGTAACTACACACTCACTTGCCACGCCCACTACAAGTTTGTTAATAGATATCGGCTTTATCTAAAATTTAATTTTTGACGCTCATTTTTATTCTTAATTAATTAAGCCCTAATAATTAAGCATAAAACACATAATTCACATAATATTCACATATTCCTTTCATTTCTTCAAAATGAGTTACAAAGGTTAACCTAGACTATAATGTCAATATAAATGTCTAGCCTAGAAACACGGGCATTACACACAGCTGTTTTAACCGAGTAAAAATTGAAACAAATCATTGAAACAAATCAGGGCGTCGATATATCGATCTGTAGGTGAAACAAAGAAGGGGTATAATTGGTATTTAACATTGGCATAATTCAGTTGTTTTGAAAGGACACGTGGACTTTTGGTTTTGTTTATTAGATAGGGAGATTTTATGTTATTTTAATTTGCTAACTGTATATTATATAAGTTTTAAAATAATATCTTATATATAATAGTATAAATTCTTGTTTCACAAATATATTCACTTCACATACGATGCATTATAGGAATATATTTGAATACATAATACAGTATCAAAAGAGAAAACTTAATTTGCTATCGAGCATTTAGATGTGTTATCGTCAATTCACCAACTGAATCCAATGTTGGCACCGATGAACTAGGGGTGAATTCTAGCAATTTATCTTTGGTGAAAAATGCTGGTTGTTTAGGTGGAGGCAAAGAATTCTCGTTACCGAGCATGAGAACTACCGATGACATAGTAGGCCTATCATCTGCATGATGTTGCACACATAACAAACCTATGTGCACTACCCGTACTACTTGAAAGTCAACAAATGAGTGTCGCAAATGTCAACCAACAAGCTCAATCGACTTTCCTTCGTTGTGGAGCCGCCATGCCTAAATTTTATCGAAAATAGGATGTTATTAGCAAAGTTATTGTGGCCGCTAATCGTTTAAAATAGTCAAGGGCCTCAAGGCCTCTGGTGCTTTTATATATAACTTACATGTCCCGTAAGGGTATCATGGTGTTCTTGTTTCGAGAATCCTCGATTTTTCTTGCCACTCACAATTTCCAACACCAAAACTCCAAAGCTAAACACATCTGACTTTATAGAAAAAAGTCCATGTAGTGCATATGCTGGAGAGATGTAACCACTGAAAAGTCGTTTGGGAATTTCATTTATATATGAACAATGTAAATAAAACTAATACAATGAAATGAGAATTTAGATTATTACTGAGTTCCAACAACTTTGTTCGTGTTGGCTTCAGTCTCGTAGCCGCTAAGCCATCTAGCAAGGCCAAAGTCCGATATCTTGGGGTTCATATCATTGTCCAACAAAATATTGGCAGCTTTGAGATCTCTATGGATAATTCGGAGGCATGAATCTTGATGATGATAAAGAAGTCCTCGAGCAATCCCATTGATAATACCAAAACGAAGGGGCCAATCAAGCATAAAACTTCCAGATTCATCTGCCAGATATTAGTTGTTAAATTAGTTGATATACAATAGATTTTAGTATATATATATATATATATATATATATATATATATATATATATATATATATATATATATATATATATGGCAGGTGGATATTGTGTCAAACCAAATATAAACAAGTCGAGGCTTTTGTTCGCCATGTATTCATATATCAACATTTTTTCATCCCCTAGAATGCAGTATCCGAGAAGTTTCACACGATTTCGATGCTGCAGTTTGTTAATACATCCAACCTCATTTTTGAATTCATCAAGTCCTTGTTTTGAAGTTGATGAGAGTCGTTTTACTGCTACTTCACTTCCATCCTCAAGCACACCCTAAAGACTCAACTTATATAGGGTAAGCCATCTGTGTTATATGTAATTCTTACTGTTTTTCTGCATATGAAGGATATATATTGTTGTATAATGTATTACCTTGTAAACAGGACCGAATCCACCTTCACCAAGCTTATTGTTGGGAGAGAAGTTGTTAGTCGATTTAACAATCATGGAAAGGCTAAAAGGCAACATCTCTTTATCCGAATTTAGACTCTCATTCGTATAGTTATCTTCATGGTCTTGCAATGAAACTATGGATAATGTTAGTGTGTATAGTAAATTCTAGCATTAGACCAAATAAAAAGTTTGTTTGGCTACCTAGTATAGTCTTGCGATGTCTTTTTCTCTTTCTTCATGCTACGTACAATGCAAAAATAACACAGACAACTACCAAACCAAGTGTAGATAACACAATTACAACGCTCGTTTGTTTGTTTTTTCTGGAGCCATATTCCGAGGTTGTGGGACCTTTAATTCAAATGTTTATAACAATTGATATATAGTTAGGATATTATTCTATATAAATAAGCATCTGATCAGCATTTTGTAAATGTAAAAAATAAAACCCAATTTTCAATCTTATATTTAAACTATAAAATTAACACAAATAATTGGTATGTCGTTTGCAATTATAGGGACAAATTTTAACATTTTAATTTTACTAGGGTAGAAGTGTGAAGAATAAAAGTTGAGAATATATTATATATATATATATATATATATATATATATATATATATATATATAATAAAAGTTGAGAATATATATTTCAAAGTTGTAATATGTAATTTTTAATTAATGTTATTTTCAATTATAGTTTTTAATTTTGAATTTCATGCTAATTAATTCGTTACAAAATAACAATAACTAAAAATAAAATATGAAATGATGTAACAATCTATTAAATTGTACGCAGTTTAATAAATAAAATTATATTGTGAATAAAATACAGATACGTAGAGTTTAATAAATAAAATTGTATAATGAACGAAATTAGTTGTGACAATTCATTAAACTAATATGAATTCAATGCATTGAATATAGTTTTATTATAGTGATTTTTTAAACTTAAAATCCGACTAAAAAGGTTCTACCAACAATTGTACGACTTTAGACGTCCAATTGTACGACTAAAAAGGCTCTACAAACAGTTATTAGCTTCTAGAGCAAACGATATATTCTATGGTTAAATTCAATTATAGTCTTATTATAGTGATTTTTTAAACTTAAAATCCGACTAAAAAGGTTCTACCAACAATTGTACGACTTTAGACGTCCAATTGTACGAATAAAAAGGCTCTACAAACAATTATTAGCTTCTAGAGCAAACGATATATTCTATGGTTAATGACTTAGGAGGGTATTAAGGTTTTAATTTTGTCCACATTAGGTTTTTAAGGTCTTTTTTTTTTGTACATATTACAGCAACATGGTTGTTATAACCGTTTAAAAAGGTAATAATGTTTTAATTTTGTCCACATTAGATCCGTAAGGTTTTTTGTACATATTACACTAATATGGTTGTTATAACCGTCTAAAAAGAGGTAATAAGGTTTTAATTTTGTCCACATTAGATCCCTATTTTTAATATTTTTATCATTTCATCTAACTCTTTTACAATTTATATTAGTATCTAGTTAGATGACTTCATCATTTCATCTTCTCATTTTAATCGCTCATTCACCACAACCACGGTTTCAATTGAAATATTACATAACAATTTTTTTTGTCATTTTTACAAAAAAATAAATAAATAAAATAATAATAATAATAATAATAATCAAAGTCTTAATGATTAAGGCTATGTTCGGCGTGCCACAGCTAGCTGATAAGCTAGTTTATTTTTCGATCTTTTTTAAGTTGTCATGTTTGGCAACCAAAAAGTAACTTATAAGTTAGCGTTTTAAAAAGCTACTTAGACTAGTTTTTTAAAAGTTTTTTTTTAATTTCCAAATATATCCCTTAATTAATTAAGAAAACATATTTTTTTAAATGCCCTTTTATGTCATTATATAATTTTCAGAAAGCTTATAAGTCAGTGGCAGAGCTAGAGTCAAAGTAAAAGAGTATCCCCGACAAGTAATGCGGTATCCCCGATAAGTAATGGCGTATTGGGGATACCCTATTGGCGGAGCCATTACTTATGGGGGATATCTCATTACTTTTTGGGGATACTCTTTTACATTGACCCTAGCTTTGCCACTGGCTGATAAACTATCTGAAATTTATATAATGACATAAAAGGACATTTAAAAAATATGTTTTCTTAATTAATTAAGGATTATATTTGAAAAGAAAAAAAAACTTTTAAAAAACTTGTCTAAGTAGCTTTTTAAAACGCTATCTTATAAGTTACTTTTTGGCTTGCCAAACATGACAACTTAAAAAAGATCGAAAAATAAACTAGTTTATCAACTAGCTGTGATGCACCAAACATAACATTAATCATTAAGACCTTGATTATTATTAGGTATTTTTTTTTTTTTGTAAAAATGACAAAAAAAAAATTTGTAACCTTTCAATTGAAACCGTGGTTGTGGTCAATGGGCGACTAAAATGAGAAGATGAAATGATAAAGCCATCTAACTAAATACTAATATAAATTATAAAATAGTTACATGAAATGATAAAAAATATTAAAAATAAGGACCTAATGTGGACAAAATTAGAATCTTATTGCCCATCTTTAAACGGTTATAATAACCATGTTTGTGTAATATGTACAAAAAAGACCTTATTGACCTAATGTGAACAAAATTAAAACCTTATTACGTTTTTTAAACGGTTATAACAATCATGTTGGTGTAATATAAAATAAATAAATTAATTAAAAAAACAACCTTATTATCCTAAGTCATTAACCCGATATTCTATATACGAATTGTTACGCAAAACTTTTTGGTTTTTTACGGTTATACTTGTTCCTGTTATTTGGTGCTAACAAGAGGGATGGAGAAGAGAAGCCTTACTTGATATATCGGAGGCAGCCATTCTTATGTAAAGCTCTTGAGTTTCATCAGACTCCCGAATATCCATTAGATCATCGAACCATAGCAAGCATCCACTTCCACCTCTTCTAATATCTAAATTAGCATACGTCGTACAAGAGCAATTCCTCATGCAAGCTGTTTCGCATTCTCCTAGCGTCATGCTCAGATTGTACCACGAATGATTTGTGTCTGGGAATTTTACACTTGAAAGTTTACGAAAACCATCTGGATTCCAGCAAGCTAATGGGTTAATCCGTTGACATCCACTTGACCGATCTGCTAGGCTCCGTTCTTCAAAGGGCCGTGGTTCAAAACCTTCCAGGCAACTACAATTATGACTCTTGTCAAAGTTAATGTTACAACTTCCGTATGAACCACAGATCGCATAAGGTGTACATGCATCATCAATTCTTGCACCTGAGTAGAAAGTCCAATTTTCCGTGCGATTGGCCCAATTCCAGTTACCGATTTTGCCATCAGGAGTCAAACGCAGAATGGAAACAAAAGCTTTGGTCATAAGTGCATATTCATAGTATATATCGTTCTCACTGACAACAAACTGGTGTGTGAATATTGCATTTTCGCCTAAATTACGCATGCCATTAAATGTAACACCGGTCCAAGGTCCGTACCTTGACTCCGGAATCACATCTAGCTTCACAAAAAATTGCGGATACCCATTTGGATCCACCCGAAAGACATATGGACCGGCAGAAGGGTCGTCATTGCTCTTCCATGAAGTCAAATGTCTGTCTTTTCCTGTTATCAAGTCAACACCAATTCTCATCCCTGAGAGAAAGGTGTCTCCAGGATAATCAAAACTCTGCCAAATTAAATTTTCCTGATCCCTGAGAATAAGATTTCCAGTATCCAAAAGCTGCATTACCAGATCCCTAGCCTTGTCTGATCCCGTTAAATTTGATGACCAGATTACAGAGTTGTTACCACTGAGAATTTATAGTGCACCCTGTCTAAGTTTGAATAAACCAGATGTATCGTTCAGTGGAGTCTCTCTGTTAGCAACTCAAACCACTGTGCGAGTTGATATCTTCTTGAACCATATCCCTGTTGGAATAATCCAGAAGTTTGAAACTCATATCCATATTGATTTGAATTTTGAGTCATTATCTTTTCCTGCAAATTTGGTAGCAGATAAACCTAGTTAGTTAGTTCTTTGTTTCTAGTATAAATAGGAGTTATTTAGATGTTTACGTGTGTGTGTTTTTCTTTTATTTTGAAGAGTTAATAAAAACCCCAGCAGAAAAGTTTCCCAAAATACCCTTCTCCATTGTTTTCATCTCTTCCACTGTTTGTTCTATCTCTTGTGTTTAGTGTTTCTACAGAAAGAAACACAGGGTTCTGATTTACACTTGGTATCAGAGCAATACCAGGTTACTAAGCAACATCAACGACATGGATGGACAGAAAAAAGACGGCTCATATGGAATCCATTACCCGATGTTGACAAGAAGCAACTATGCAGTTTGGGCAATAAAGATGAAGGTTTTTATGCAAGCCCAAGAAGTATGGGAAGCAATTGAACCTAAGAACCCCCAGAACCCTGTTGGTGTGAAGAAAGATAAGATGGCAATGGCTGCCATCTACCAATCCATTCTCGAAGACATGGTCATGTCGTTAGCAGAGAAGCAGACAGCGAAGGAGACTTGGGACACCCTCAAAACAATTTACATGGGTGATGATCGTGTGAAGACAGCTAAGGTTCAAACCTTAAAGGCGGAGTTCGAGATTTTGACTATGAAGGAGACAGAAACTGTGGATGATTTTTCTGCAAAAATCACCAACATAGTTAGTAATATTCGAGCCTTGGTAGATAAGGTTGAGGAAGCCTACGTGATAAAGAAGCTATTACGGGCAGTTCCGTCTAAGTTTGTGCAGATTGCCTCAACGATTGAGCAATTCGCAGACATGGAAATAATGACCGTCGAAGAAGTAATCGGGAGATTGAAAGCGCATGAAGAGTGGGTACGCGGTCATAGTGATAATGATGAGAAGAAGTTGTTGCTAACTCATCAGGAGTGGCTTGATAGATCTAAGAAACAAGGTGAGGATGGACATGAGTTATTACTAACACATCAGGAGTGGCTAGAATCTCGTGGTCGTGGCAGTGGAAGATCAGGCGGTAACAATAACCGAGGAGGTCGGAGGGGCGGCGGTGTCCACCATAATCGAGGAGGAGGTCGAAATTCATTTGGTGCTCGTGATAAAAGTAAGGTACAATGCTACAACTGTCAAGATATCGGTCATTGTGCCTCGGAGTGTAAAAATCCAAGGCGTGAAAGAAATCAGGAGGCAAATCTAACCAAGGAGGCAAATCTAACCAAGGATGAAGACGATGACGAGCCGGCACTGTTAATGTCAATGTACAACTCTATTGAAGCGCATGAGGAGGTATTCTTGAATGAGAAAAATATAACTCCAAAGTTAAAATCTACAGGTGATGAACCCAACAGGTCCAATATTTGGTACCTGGATAATGGGGCAAGCAATCATATGACTGGGCAACAAGAAAAATTTAGAAATCTTGATAAGACCATTCGGGGATATGTGAAATTCGGAGATGGATCAAAGGTTCAGATAGAAGGCATGGGGTCTATATTGTTTCAATGTAGAAATGGCGAGCAGCGTTTGTTACAACAGGTGTACTATATCCCAAGTTTATGTAATAATATCATAAGCTTGGGACAACTTGCACAAGATGGTGACAGAATTCTAATGCTTGGTTCTTTCTTATGGATTCACGATAGATCTGGTAAGTTACTCATGAAAGTAAGACAATCATTGAACAGGTTGTACAAGATCGTTTTGAAAGAAGTGGAACCAGTTTGTTTGATGGGAAGTATTAGCAAACCGGAATGGCTTTGGCATGCACGCCTCGGCCATGTAAACTTCCCCGCTATGAAACAAATGTATGACAATGAAATGGTTACTGGTTTACCCAAAATTGAACACCCCACGCAACTCTGTGAAGGATGTTTATTCGGGAAGCAAACACGAAAACCTTACCCAACACACGCAAACTATAGAGCCGAGAGAATACTTGAGCTTGTGCATGGCGACCTATGTGGTCCCATCTCACCACCCACGCCTTCTGGTAATCGATATTTTTTTCTCCTTGTTGATGATTATAGCCGTGTCATGTGGGTGTATATGCTAAAAACAAAGGATGAGACTTTTGGTGTCTTCAAAAAATTTCGTGTGCTTGTTGAAAATGAAACCGGAGTGAAACTCAAGACGTTTAGATCTGATCATGGGGGGAATTCCTCTCGAAGCAATTTACTACGTACTGTGAAGAAACTGGTCTAAAACGTCATTTCACGGCACCATATTCTCCGCAACAAAATGGTGTCGTGGAGAGACGAAACCGTACCGTGGTTGAAATGGCAAGGAGCATCTTAAACAGCATGAGTGTTCCGGGAACCTTATGGGGTGAAGCTATACGACATGCCGTCTACGTGCTCAACCGAGTGTCAACAAAGGCACTCAAAGATATAACCCCATATGAGGCATGGTCAGGAAGAAAGCCCAACCTGGATCACTTGAGAGTTTTTGGGCGTATTGCTCACACGAGGGTTGCAAGCAGCAACTTACAGAAACTTGATAATCGTAGCATAAAACTGGTGCATCTAGGTTGTGAACAAGGAAGTAAAGCCTATAGATTACTCGATCTTGATACCGGAAAAATATATGTAAGTAGAGATGTAAAGTTTGAAGAAGATAGATGTTGGTCGTGGGTAGAAACAGTAAAGTACCAGACTACCCAAGGAGCTACTTTTGTTCTTGAAGAGTACAAATCACCAATGCACGATGTTGAATCAGAAAATCAATCTTCCACACCATTGCACTCTGAAAGCATTACTGAAGACTTTATCCAAACACCCTCACACGAACAGGTGCAGTCAACCCTAGAACCTTTTTCTGCACCCATGGAACTAGGTAGCTCGGATGGTCCGTGTGCTTCTTTAACAAACTCAACAGGAAGAGAAACTCTGGAAAGGTACCGTTTGTTAACTGATGTTTATAATGACTGTGACGAGCTCTTATTCTTACAAGATGTCAATGAACCCACATCATATTTCATGGCTACAAAAGATGAAAATTGGGTCAAGGCGATGAAAACTAAATTAGATGCGATTGAAAGAAACCATACTTGGAACCTCGTTAACTTACCACCAGGTCGTCGACCCATCGGACTTAAATGGGTCTATAAACTAAAAAGGGACCCAAATGGCAATGTGATAAAGCACAAGGCTAGATTGGTAGCGAAGGTCTACGTACAGAAACACGGGATAGATTACGATGAAGTGTTTGCGCCCGTTGCACGACTAGAAACAGTAAGAATTTTACTTGCTCTCTCGGGAAAAAAATGGATGGAAAGTACATCATCTCGATGTGAAATCTGCGTTTTTAAATGGAGATTTGGAAGAAGAAGTTTATGTATCCCAACCGGAAGGATTCGTGAAACGTGATCAACCCCGAAAGGTTTACAAGTTGTCAAAGGCTCTTTATGGACTTCGACAGGCACCAAGGGCATGGAATGCTCGTTTAGACAAATGCTTGAGAGGTCTTGGTTTTGTGAAGTGTCCTCAAGAGCATGCTGTTTACACAAAGAATAGAGATGGAAAACTAATAATCATTGGAATTTATGTTGATGACTTGATTGTTACAGGTAATTGTGATGCTGAAGTGGAAAAGTTCAAAGCTCAAATGAATAGGGAATTTGAAATGAGTAATCTGGGAACATTGTCGTATTATCTCGGGATAGAAGTGGTTCAACGAGAGGGTGAAATTACACTAAAGCAGGCAGCCTATGCAAGAAACTTACTTACAAAGACGGGCATGGCAGATTGTAACCCATCTAAATATCCGATGGAGCCCAAGTTAGAGTTAAGCAAAAAGGAAAAAAGGTGACCCAGTAAACCCAACATAATATAGAAGTATCGTGGGTGGTTTAAGATACTTAACTCATATGCGACCCGATATCTCGTATGCTGTCGGGATGGTAAGTAGGTTCATGGAGAAACCCACAAATGTGCATCTTCAAGCAGTGAAAAGAATCTTGAGGTATGTGAAAGGCACAATTGATTTTGGCTTGACATATTCTAGAGGAAATGAAGAGAACGTAATTACCGGTTACAGTGATAGTAATCTTGCTAGAGATGTAGATGATAGAAGAAGTACAGCAGAGACCGCATTTTATCTAAATGAGAATTTGGTAACCTGAGCTCTCACAAGCAACAAAGTGTTGCTTTATCTTCATGTGAGGCTGAATTTATGGCTGCTACATCAGCAACATGTCAAGGAATATGGATCAGAAGATTGCTTAAAGAGATAACAGGTAGCAAGATTAGTACAGCAACATTGTATGTAGACAACAAGTCTGCACTGGCTTTGATGAAGAACCCGGTGTTTCACGGGAGGAGCAAACACATTGATACACGGTTCCATTTTATACGGGAATGTATCTAGAAAGAAGACATTACAGTCAAACATGTGAGCAGCCAAGAACAAAGGGCAGACATTCTCACGAAATCAATGGGCAAGGTCAAATTTGAAGAGATGCAGCTGGGAGTAAAGCACATAACACCTTCTGGATTAGGGGGGAAAATGTTGGAATAATCCAGAAGTTTGAAACTCATATCCATATTGATTTGAATTTTGAGTCATTATCTTTTCCTACAAATTTGGTAGCAGATAAACCTAGTTAGTTAGTTCTTTGTTTCTAGTATAAATAGGAGTTATTTAGATGTTTACGTGTGTGTGTTTTTCTTTTATTTTGAAGAGTTAATAAAAACCCCAACATAAAAGTTTCCCAAAATACCCTTCTCCATTGTTTTCATCTCTTCTTCTATCTCTTGTGTTTAGTGTTTGTGCAGAAAGAAACACAGGGTTCTGATTTACAATCCCCACGTATCGTTTCCTTGATGTGCCAAGGCTGAAGAACCCCATTTCAAAATTTTGACCAGCTGAAACAATGGTGTTGCCATCTGTGATGGTTTGATTTGCTGAAATCGTGTCTAAGGATGCACAAGTTATAAAGATTGAGCTTAGAACAATAGAGCATAAGAACAATATGGTAAGCTTCTCCATGATATGAACTTGCTCCTCTCGTATGTGGATTATCTGGGTTTAAGCTATAAATGACCTGAACTAAAACAAACGTAGTGGCGCGGGAATGTTTAAGGCAAAACTCAGATGTCAAGCAATTTAATAACATGAGACAAATAGCAACTATTCTATGTAACACGCAGTTGACCAACGTTTTCTCAAATACCCTGGCCAGTAATTTAATATGATTAAAACATGACGATCCCATGTAGAAAAATCAACGAAAATGCTTGGTCTAGCTAGATGGCCTGAGTTTGACGGGAGTTATGGCCTATGGGATGATTAGTCGTTCAGCGGAAGAAAAAAAAAGTTTTTAGAATCTTGTTATTCATTATTGGTTGAGAATTTTTGGATGTTAATGTTATTCGTTTGGCTTAACTGGTTTTTAATATGTCGTGTTTGGCATTAAGCGTTTGGAAACGTTAGAAACCTTTTAGTTTTTGACAAAACATTTTAGTTTAAACAAAAAATTTCGTTTGACAATGATAAAACGTTTAACTTTTAGTTTAAACAAAACGTCCAAATATAAAAGCTACTTCATGTAGTGTTTAACAAAACATTATTGAGATTTTCAAATTAATTTCCAAAATTACCCTTAATATATATATATATATATATATATATATATATATATATATATATATATATATATATATATATATATATATATATACTAGGAGCGTACCCGCGCGATGCGGCGAGCGGCAAATAGTTTCATTCCAGCGATTAATTAGATTTTCCTGCCGACGAATTGTTTGTCTTCGATCTATTTCCGGCGTCTCAGTCGTTGGTCGGTCTACGGACTCTTTTCGTTTTCTTTTTCTTTGTTCAAATTTAGGTTGTTTCGGTTCAGTTTTAGTTTTTTCGTTCAGTTCCACTTTTATGGATTTTGATGTTCGTGTTTTCAGTTGAGCACCCGCTCAATTATATTAGTCATCTTTCGTCAAATTAGACTTAATTTTATGAAGAATAGTTTCAATTTGGCAAATAGTTTTACGACGGAAATTAGTTTCACTATGAGGAATAGTTCTAAACAACATTTAGTTCCTTTTTTGAATGACACGGATAGTTATCTTTAGGTTTTAGGGTTTAAGGGGGTAGGGTGGTGCAACAAATATGATTACGCTTATTTGATTTTTTTTCAGGGGTGGATCGCTCTTAATATTTTGTTGTGTTTTCAGGATTTGTAGAAACTTAGATGGGAAGTTGACAATTTGTAACCATGGTTGGAACATTTTAAGAATGAATCGGGAGTGGATCATACTAACGACTAAGAGCAATGAGAGGTCTACACGACAATGACTACATGACTTCGTTTTTTTTTTTTCGATCAAAAGAAATTTCATCATTTAAACTTACTTATAAAACTAATTATAATAATAAACTAAATAATATTAATAAAATAACAGTGAATATTTTGATAAATATAGTTTTTTGTTACAATATATATGTAATTTACATCCATTATTTTGAGTTAAAAATAAAATTATATAGTTATTTTAGTTAAATTTAAAAGTACGTTTATTTTTTAGCTAAAACTAAAAATAACTTGTTTTTTGTTTTAATATATAAATATGTCGTTTTGGATTAAAAAAATATATTTATATTTTGGTCGAAAAATATAAATATAGTGTTGTTTTAAGATATTAATAAAAGAGTCTTTGATATTTTGAGTTAAAAAGATTAAAATTGTTTTTAATAAAATAAAATGCATTAAGTATTATTTTCAATTCAAAAATACATCTAGAAAATTGTGAAATTTTATTACAATCATAATTACCTAGAAATTCACTGTAACCTATCTTTTTCAAACATTAAACTTACCTCTATCATCCTTTATATTACAGGTCATTTTCAATTTATGTCCTTATAAATATAATATTACATTTATTATGAGATATAGAAAGATACAGCCATTTCATAAAAAATCCAAAATACTATTTAAATGTTTTATGGCATTTAGTTTATTTATAATAGAATAAGTTCATACAGTTAGCGAATAGATCTTTTACAAAAAGTTTATGTTGTATGAATAACTCTCAAGTGTCTATTAGTTTTTTTTAGTCTCATGTTTTTTCGTTTAAAAAAATTCAGTTTTTATTAAAAGTTTGCTACAATTTTGTTTAAGAATATAAATATATTTTTTTGTTAAAAGTAAAAATATTTTTCAGTTTTGATTTAAAAATAGAAATACTTTGTTTTTACGTGTTTAATAAAATAAGTGTTATTGTTTTTAGTATGTTGTTTTTTGAGTTACAAATATAAGTAAATTGTTGTTTTTAAGTTGAAAATAAAAATAAGTTGGAAACAAATTGAACGTTTAGTTCAAAAATTAATAAAACTGTAGAACATTTACTTAGATTTTTATTTTCTAAAAACAATAGACCTATAACAAATATTATTTTATTTTAATTTTTTTGAGCCCATACTTCTACCAAATCGTGACTTTTAATGTTTTGCTATTTCAACCACTCAGCCTTTTTTACTGTTAAGGAATCTGTTTTTGAAGTACATACTATAATATATTTTATAAAGTATGTTAATTTATACAAAAAAAAAAGTATAACCAAAACTTTCAAAAATGAACGAAATACTAACAAACAACCAGTAAAATATAAAACATAATTACAAAACTCACAATAACAACTCTAAACTTCATGTTAAGGTTAACTGTTTCTTTTTTTATCTTTTTGTCCATTAAAAATAGAGTGATAAAGTTTTTTTTTGTTTACAATAATTCTAAACGCTTGTTATATCAAACATTTACTCAAATCTATTTATGAAAAAGCCTTGGCACTTGTTCTTGTTTTATTATGTATGGAAGATTAACATTCAAAACACTTCTTTCATGTATCTTGTTCTGCTTCTTTTACACAATCGTATTCAAACAAAAGCAGTAAACACATATATCAGATATATTATCCATAAGTAGTTAATATAAACATACAAGAACTCAAATACGCATCGATATCTAAAAGACAAACATGCATTCAGCTTACTTTATACAAAATAGTATTTCTATCTCAATCAAACAAAAAACATATCGAATCTGAGTTTAAAACAATTTAAATAATAAGGACTTTTTTTTAGTCTTTGGATCTGAAAAACATTATCATACCAGATCGAGAAACTTATCTCTCTGCCTTAGAACCTTATCTCTCTACCTTAGAAGCCTATCTCTCTACCTTACTCACCCCATGGTTCTTCAGTTTCCTCTTTTTCTGAGATCGAAAAACGAGATTATAGCTACAAACTCAGATATACAATGGTTATGTGTGTGAGATAGTACACAAAAAGAGAGAGAGAAAGGGTGAGCGACGGAGGTTGACGATAGTGGCTAATGGAGGAGCAAGTGAGGGAAGAATGTGGGTGAAAGCGTTGGTTGGTGTCGACAGTGGAGGTTTAGGGTTAAACGCGAAAGAGAGGTGTGGTGGCGGTGACATGCTGGCCGTGAAGGTGATTAGTTTCAAGTGACTGAGAGCGGTGGGAACTGGCTTATGGTAGCAGATTTAGGATATATTTATTTATTTATTTATTTTTTAGAGTAAATTACACTAATGGTCTTTTAACTTTACGGTTTTTCTCTGAAATGGTCATTATGAAAATTTACCTTGAGATGATCCGTACGGAGCAAACTTACATACAAATGGTTCTCACCGTGGATGTGTGTTTGATTGATCCGTTAACTTGAAAGAATTTTGGATAAGAACTATTTCTGTCGTTTTATAAAACTTGATTAATGACCATTTGTGAAATTTTACACAAGATCATCTGAAATATTACAATTTTAGTCTCTTACTTTTTTTTTTCTTTTTTTCGGCCTTTTTTTTTCATAACTTTGTTATTATATATTTTTTAAATATATAAATAATTTTTGTTGTCTACATTTTATCTAAAATATTTAAATTACAATACATAATTAAATATTTTTATTTTTTATTTTTTATCTAAAAATATTTGAAGCATAAACACATCATTTTATTACTTTTTAATTTTTATATGATGTAATTTTTAAGATTTATCTTCATTTTTCTTATACCAATATATTTACTTTTATGTAAAAAACATGATGTGTTATTATAAAAAATGTGTTATTATCGGAATAACAGTATGTTGCTACTTTATTTTGAAAATATAACTATGTGGTTTTGAATTAAAGATAAAAATATCTCGGTTTTTATTTCATAATATAAGTACAATGAATTTTATATTGCTTCGATATAAAATTTTGATATTCAATTTTAAAAAATTATTTAGTTTTATCAAATTTTGAATATATGTCTTAATAAGAAATAAACTTTTCAATGCAAAATAAAATAAAATAAAATGTCTATTAGCTAATACTTAACTATGCTGCTACAAATGCTAAGATAATTAACCATATGAATAATATGACATTAATTCTGTTTAATTCATTTTATTGAATAGAAGATAAAAATATTTTACGTATTTATATAAAAAGAATTAAACAGGGTTAATGTCATATTAAACGGAATTAAACGAAAATAATGTGACATTAATTTCGTTAAAAAATTTATTTTCCATTAAATAAAATGAATTAAACGGAATTTAACGTCATATTATTCATATGGTTAATTATTTTAGCATGTGTAACATCGAAGTTAACAATTAGCTAACAGATGTTTTTCAATTTTGCTTTGAAAAGTTTATGTTTTATTAAAGAATACATTCTAAACTTGATAAAAGTAAATAATTTTTCAAAATTAAATATCAAAATTTTATATCGAAGCAATATAAACTTTACTGTACTTATATTAAGAAATCACAATTGAAACATATTTTTATCTTTAACTCAAAACCACATACTTATATTTTTAAAATAAGATAACAACATACTATTATTTCGATAATAACGTATTTTTTATAATAACACATCATGTTATGTTCATAAAAATAAATATATTTTTATAAGATAAATGAAGATAAATTTTAAAAATTACATCATATAAAAATTAAAAAGT